AATTTTTCTATTACAGAAGAAAGGAGACAGCCGAGATTGTGCAAAAAAACAACACAATTGCATGAATACTGTGTGATTCAGTCAATCAGTAAAAGTCATTCCTCGGAAAAAGAAAAAAAATATTTTAAAAATGTTGATGCAAGCATATACTTTAAGATTTTCAAAAACACATTGAAAGAAACTTCATTTTCTATCTTCTCTGGAAAGTTGTGTAGATTACATTACGTCGCGTAAGCATATTCTAAGATCATACTCACAGAAAAAGATTTCCTGGTTTTTAAACTCGTTTAAATGTTCCATATTATTTATAAAATTGTGTCCGATATGTCACGAAAGAGTCACGTCTGTTTTTGCATGCTGGAATTTCTACAGATAACTTTTTCTAGAAAATCCATTTTTCAACAAAGAAAATGGAAGGGAAAACACGCCCCAAATGCAAGCAAACATCTAGGAGTTATCCAATTGCATCATCACCCTTAATTCATTTACGTAGTCTGTATGATATGACTCACCAGGAATTATTTATTTCCTTCAAAATTATACAAATATAACATATTTATTTTATATCAAAATAACTTACCAAGTAAGCTGGGATCAGTCATGATTCATACTATCTTATTTCGGTGCTTGTTACGGAGTTGGAGTCAGGATACAGCTCGCCAGACCGCTGTTTTACCACCTTTTTTAAATTTGAAGTCGTAGGCTTCCGCGGCCAGAGTCATCTTGGCTGTCCGGGTGACGCCGCGTCGAAGATTGTGTTGCAGACGTTTCGACCATCTTGTCGTGGTCTTTCTCAGGGCTGGTATGCCATGGGCATATCAGTAAAGTAAATTCCCCTGTGATAGTGCTGCGATCTATTGAATTTTCCTACAAGTATTTTTCGGTGCATTTAGCCTTAAAGGGGCCGCGATATCAGCCAGATCGATTGGGGTATACCAACTTTGGAGAAAATCGGTTGAACGGTCTCGAAGCACGCGTTGACCACGAACGGGCGGATGTTTTGCAATCAATCATTTTTCCGGTATCTAGGACCCACAAAACGAATTTCAGAGGCGGAATCCAGGGGTCGGGGAGACGGCAACCGCACCTCCCCCAATCTTGGAACGCCTATTTAGACATTTTATTCCGCGGATCGTCAAATTTATATTATAAAATAGATTTAACTTGTTTCTGTATTTTGAGAAGAAATTTAATAACAATTAAGTGTACAATAATTTTATGAAGCTGAGCTAATAACGTAATTAATAGGTGAACTTTAGTTCAGTATTATAAAACATGTGAGATATTGTTTAGCATTACTGTGAATATCCCTTATTAATAAATACTTTTTCAATTATATTTTTCTTTTAAACATTATTTACTTAGAAATTAAGCAGTTTCATGCCCAAAGTCATGAGCCACAGCATACAAACTAACTCTCAAAAAGAATGAGTATTTCTTGGTTATTATGAACTATAGTTATACATAAGACTATAATTACTTTTCTATCTTGTCAAAAACAGATTGCATTTTTGTTAAAAGTATTTATTAATGTAGATTTTAAAATATGAATCCTACAGTTATGTATAAACATTTGTGATCAACACTTGCGATATATGCACTGAGAAAAATGCATAATTGAATTAACAGTTTGGTCTGTTCAAATAATAATGAGGATAGTCACCTCTGTTCAACTAATCTAATTCAGAACATTCAATAGTAATCAATTAAATAATTAACAAAATTGAAAACAATGTATATAATTGCGGCACAATTAAATTAAAGCATTATTATAAATAAAAATGTTAATGGTTAATTCAAATCGCCTGTTTCTCGCCCAAGAAATACCTTCTTTCTCTCCTAGTTGGTGAAAGGAGCGTAGCGAAATTTGCGTGGTCAGACGGAAGAGCGGGCCTGATGGCCCGCGTTTCGCCACGTAAAATAAGGCAAATTCAATTCAATTCAATTCAATGGTTATAATATCCTCCAATAAAAGATCTGAAATCCCATCTCTTATGGATTCTGATTATACGTGTTAGAGAAATTAATAAGAAATACATTGGGGCAAACTTCATCTACTTTTTCATTATCAGCACCACCAATAAGGGTTTTCCTTAAAAAAGGGGTCGAAAATTCAGTTTTTTCCCCACAACGTTACTATACTGTCTCTATACTACATAAGTAGTAGCAAGAAAATAGAAAGCAATATTGACTCAGAAGTTCAAACATGTGCACAGCCAGAAACAATGCTGGGTATACAATTATGCCATATTTTTTTTCTATGATTTTTCAATTATATGGAGTACATACAATTAACAATTAATTTTTTAAAATTTTTAATTGTAACTTGCACAACATATTAGTTTTTGTCTTGTCTTTAATAAAACAGGCCAAGCATCTCTCATGTCTACCAAATTATATATTAAGAAGAGTTGTGGTTTAACAAAAATATATTATCTTTTCACAACACAAAAAGGGCACTAATTTCCATGAAATGTCTGACCTTTACTTCCCAAAAACAAGAAAAATTACATTTCTATGGTAGAATATTGTTTAATCCTAAGAATTCTGAAAGGAAGAAAGTTGAGAATGAGAAAGACATTGATAAATACTATAAAATTGTTTTATTGTTTTTTCAATATGAATAAATTTGATTAAATCAAGCCAATTCTAAAATAATTATGAATCATAATTCATCATCCAATTCATGCATTATTTTAATGTATTGAGCAGCCAGCTGTGTTGCACTAGGTCTCTCATTAACATCCACACTTTTACATTTTTTATGAAGAAAGAATAGCTTGTATCGGATAATTTCACTATTAGAAACATCACTAATGAAGTAATCACACACTGACGCAGCCTTCCATATATCAGTTTTTTCATTGTACCCTTCGAGTACATGTGGATCAGAGGCACGTTGTTCTGGAGCAATGAAATCCCCACTCAAATTTCTATTACCACATCTAATTGTTTTCTGTTCACTATTAATTTCAGGCAAAGCATCCACATCATTTAACAATAATGATAATTCGTTAGTGACCAATAACTGGCTAAGTGTTTTTTCTAAAGTATTTGAGTCGCACATAACACGACAACCTGCAGGACCACTATGCAAATACTCAAGTAACAGAGCATAGTTCAAACAAAGTTTCAACCTCACATGAACGTTATCACGAAAGCCTGTTTTATGAATTTTATCAACAATATTCACTGCATTTCCCAGTGGATGATATTCAGTCCAAATAACATTTTCACTAGGACAAAATCCAATTAACTGTGTAACATATGGACTAGGATTTAGTAATTTCAACATTTCCAATCCACTTTTAAAATCATCTATAAAATTTGGATTATTGAGAATAGAATATGTGATATTCATTGCTGCCCATACTGCTCTATAAACAGCCTTAACAGCTCCCAAACCAATTAATTCTTTTACAATTATACCGTCCATGTCATCACAGTTTAACCAGCGATGACATTCCTTCATTGCAGGAAGATGGAAATGCTCTGGTGGACAATCCAAATTATTATCAGCAGTCAAATGGATAAATAATCTATGAATACAAATTATTATGACTGAAAAAATAAAAATAAATATATAGTAGAGGAATTTCATTGCTACATGCACTGCGGACTCTTGTTTATAAGATATAATACAAAATTAGGATTTCATAACTATAGTCTACATATTGTTACAATCCTTGCAACTAAATCATAGAAATATACGGAACTTTGCTTAGCAAAGAACAACAGTAACTCAGATCATAATCGGCAAGTTCTTTTTGTATCATTTTTTAAAATAATGACCAACTCTTCAGAACTGCATCACAAGTCACTCACATTCTTCACACATCTTAATACATGGGTATACTGGAAAAATGTAATACATTACAATATGACCAATTATCATTTCTGAGGAAAAAAACAATGCTCTTGTAGTAGTGAGCACAATGTTTTGTAGTAACTTATAACTATATCAAAAAAGATAACTTGTCAGGGTAAAAAAACATGTCATGTTTTTGTGATTATTCACAATTTTAAAATATTTTACTTTGTGACAAACTATTATGAATTTTCGTCAGTGGTTTCTGTATTTCACGGTTATTTCGCATTCTAGCATTCTGTAGATGTAGAATTGCATGCCTCTGAAATAAACACACAATGACAACATAAAAAAGTAAAACTTTTTTTTAAATACAAAAGTGACCTTACGGCAGTTTGCGTTCTATACTATAATTGTCAAATAATTTAAAATTAAATTGCCTACAGTATTCTTAGCAATTACCTCAAAGAAATCGAAAGCTTTTTCCTTACTTATTAATTTATTTAAAATATTTTCTTACATTTCTTTGTTTGGCACTTTTCCGGATGAATCCCAAGAAAACACCAGAAGTTACAATTTCCCAGCACTAATTCACAATTAGGTTATGTACTTCCACACAAAAACAACATCGGATAGAAACGTCACACAATTCCATCAGAAGGTTAAAGTTTGCATGAAACTCCAACGTAATTTCATAATCTGACGTACACAATACAAATTATCAATTTGTTTCTGCAATTAGTAAACTAGCATTTTTACATTTTAAACTCTTGTTTACCGACACAATTAATACCCAAATCCAGTTTTACTAACATTCCCACAGCATCCTACAGTCAATCCCATGCCAATCCAATGGCCGAGCACGACCGGCATCGCAGTCCATGGTTCCATGCGGTTCCATGCAATAATATACTCTCTGGTTCCATGACAGAAAGTACATGCAATGCGGATCTTGGTCATGTGTGCTGAGAACGGTATACACGAGGACTGCACAAGAGCACGTCTGGTCATAAGGAGGCTGTTTCATTTACATTCCTGCATTGTTTAAACAAGAGTATGAACGATTTACACAATTCGCCAACATTTGTGTCATAACAATGCGCAATATTTTTTATAATATAAGATTAGGATAAAAAATCCTAAGACCCTGCAAATACTTTCTCTTAAATATCCCGCCTTTTGTCGGGGAAACAATTCATAACAACGTAACCGATTTCCAGAACATTGTTATGTGTGTTGGTTCAGATTCCACCTTGCTTTAGAACGCTCCAGAGAACAAGAGATACTTTGAATTATAATAAATAGAAGGGAAAATGAGGGCTCTTATCCCTTATCGTGAACGAATCGACTCACTTTCACGAGACGGTTTTCACGTCGACACGATGTAAACCACCGCGACGATGACATGATTGATTGATTGTTATGTGGTTTCGGGCGCGTCAACGACTAAATTCATAATTCCCGAACGAATAGGGTATGTTTTCATCGAGATGCGGTGATATTCTCCCGCAAACACGCTTACACGCAACACTCGCCGCTTCATACTCGGATTGACATGAAATGATATGAAGCATTCCAAGTAATGGGTTTGCGACAATTAGTATTCAGGCCTTTAATGACCTGCTGCTCGCCGCGCACCGTCGTTATCTGCCTATCTGTAGTCACTCTCAGTTGCCTCGGAAGGCATGCAGGGTGTTACAAACGGGTGTTAACATGGTAGGTTCGCAAAGACTAGAAGGTCGATATGTGAATAATCCAAATATAATTATTGCAAAGATAAGAGTCCCTAATAATGTTATCTCGATATGGGACAATTAAATAAACACATTTCGGTTTTGCTCAGAAACAAAATGTTCACAATAATGGGTTCTAATAAAAAAAAAGTGTTAAAATATAGTGTAACAATGTCAAGTGCACCGTACGTAAGTTTATTTTTCTGTTTTCTTAAAAATAGCATTGGTTTATGATATACTTACAACTGACTTTAGTAGAATGAATGTGTATTCCTGTACTCTTGAAATAAAACAGAGACCAACGGACATGACCTTTGACATCAGTCGTGAAAGAACAAACGCGCTAGAACTATTGAACCGATTGATAATTTCTAGCGCTGCCGATGCAACAACTTTGATCGCTGCAGGAAGCGTGGAGGTCATGAAAGGTCTTGATGCAAAAGTCTCTAAAACACTATTTCTAATTCTCCAAAATTTGAATCGTATGTGGATTTTGCATGGTGTTCTACCAGGTGGCGAAATGTTGAGAATGTTTGGTTCATTCGCTTCCAACACCGGATATTCTGCGGAGCGGAACTGTCTTCCCACGGACGAGTGACATCGACATCTCAGAGTTTCGCCAGTCGGCTGTGAGTGTGAGTGTCAGGGAGGATGAAGTTATTTTACCTACTTTTGTATTAATAAGCAAGCCGGGATTTCGGCAGGGGGTCTCAGTCTTTCCTCAGATCTTACGTACTACCTACAAGCTTGGAGAAAATTAGCATACCACTTGAATAAGAATCACATTAAAAGATTTAAAATAAATGGCTTAATATTAGAAATTAAAGATCCGTGTTTTTATATAAAAGAAGTTTTGAATTATTATTTGTAAAAAAACAGACTATTAAATGTGAATGAAAACTGAAATATCAATAGCAAACAAGTCCAATTCCAGTTGAAACATTGTTTATCTATCAAATAGTATTGAGACTTGAATTGTTGATTTGCACGAATAACGACATCGATATCAAGATCAATATTATTTCCCGTCTCAAGTCATTTTACACGTCCAATTTATTCACATATTTATTTTGTATGTAAAATAAAAAGAAAATGCTTATTCATAAAGGTGAGATAACATGGATGGTATCAGATACTGCAAGGCCCTGAGCGGACAATGCATAATACTTTTTTCGAACATCCACCTAAAAATTCGCCACATCTTTGCATTTGAAAGCACCTTTTAAGACAGAATTAATGGTTGAATGACTTTGGAATTAATATTGTTAACTAAAATTTCTAATTCATTTTTAGATATGTTTATATGTATTTAACTGGTTTTAATAAGCGAAATTCAAAAATAAATACTCAATTTTCCTTCCACATAGCCAATTGAGAATGGCAAAGAAGTATTCAAGATCACCGAACGGCATGAAATTTTCGTTCCGAGCGTGCGAATTATTGTTTTTATTCTAACTCAAGAACCATGATTCATAAAAAAAAGTTTTTAGTTTCATATCAAATTTTGGACGTCCCTTGTCATTTCATTCGCTGGATGTTTGTGCTTTTCTTCAATAATAAAAAAGTTTCTCGCTTGGTGAAAATTTAAAGACTTCAAAAGGTAGACGTAAACACTTCACTACTATTTATAATTAATTTCTGCAAAATTAAACCATCAAGCTCAATTACAATATAACCATCATGAGTTCTGAAAAGAACGGTTAAAAACTCAATTGTTTAAGATCACCACAATTGAAGCTATCGTCGAGTAAACATGTTAAGTATAATAGAAAGAGAGTTTTATGTAAAATTGTACTGAATAGAAAAAGAGGGCAATACTCCATAAGGCCTAGTGCTGCAATCAAATGTTTGGACTTACTATAGAGTAATGTTATACCTCCTTAGTCTATGGATGTTCAATGGATATATCCCACCAACGGGGCACCGCCAAAGAGGAGGAATATTTGTGCTCTATGGGCATCACCCCTGCCGGGTACTCTCAAAGCTCCCGCCAGGTCTCCCGACATGTGTGGTAAGGGGTGTGGATAGGGCAAGGAAGAGGAAGAAAATTTTACGCGCGGTCCGTAGCCCGTTTGATGGGGTTCTGCCTGGCATTGACCGGAGAAACCACAGAACAGTCGGCCGCAACAATTCTCCTGTAGAGCGGCGAATTCGATCTAGCTCCTGAAGAAAAGCCTGACACCGTCATTATTACATACAACACGGCTTATGTCACGACACTTGAATGTCACGACATCGTGAACTTGCAAAAATGAATGAAGGAACGAATGAACGAACGAAAAACAAACAAATAAATAGATGGATGGATGGAGAGATAGAGAGATAGATAGAACAAAACTAAATTGCAGGCGGAAAACTCCCGGACTGGGTGACCCTACATGGGTAATCCAAATCATAAAGACTTTGTTTCCATCGCATCAGAAATCATCGACAATGCTTGCACTGTAAAGTTACGGGAGACCAAATTTTTACCCCAGAAGAAGTGAAGAAGGTATGCAGTACCTGTAGTATCCAAAAGAAAGCAATTTCTAAAAATGGATTTATTCCAACCACAATCAGTAGACAAATTCAAGCCAGATCCAAACAATTTTCCAGAAGATGTACCGAAGAATGTCCAAGTTTCAATTTCCCGGGGAGATGTCCAAAATCGCAGCCGTTGTGCAATTCACTGTTCCAAGAGAGAGAAAGTCCGTAACCGTAGCTGTGTTGTCGCACTTGTTCACAATCCACTTATCACTTCACAATGTAGGCAGGAGTTTGAACTGTCTCTCAGCTCGCCGGGCGCGGCTTTTATAGCCGGATCGGGCTGAGGGTCCGCTGGCCAGCTGTCAGGAACGGAAGCGCCCGTCCGCTCCGGAGCGGGGTCCGCCGTCGAGCGTGACGGCGCCGCGGCGTCTGCTATCGCCGTCCTCTCTTGAGTGGCGCCGGAACTAAATTCCAGCGGCACTTTTAAAGGCACGCAGTCGGCCACAGCAGTACCCTTAAGAAAAAAAGGGCCCCAAGACTCGACGAGATACACAATGAAATTCTGAAGACAGTGGCAAAGGCCCACCCCCAACTTCTCCTGAAAACATATAATACTTGCTTGGCGGAAAACGTTTTTCCGAGGGTATGGAAAAAGCAGAAACTTGTTCTCGTCTTAAAATGCAGCAAACCAAATCTTACAGAGCAATCTGCCTACTAGACACTAGATGGGAAAGGTATTCGAGGGCCTGGTACTGCAGAGACTTACAGACATGGCTAGTGGAAACACACGGTCTGTCGGAAACGCAATATGGCTTGTGAAAAAATAGATCGACAGTCGACGCCACCAAACAGTCGTAGAAAAGGCCAGAGAAGCCAAAGAGGGAGCAAAAAATGGATTCTGTGCCCTCGTAACGCTCGACATCAGGAATGCCTTTAACTCAGCCAAATGGGAGATTATCTAGGCTCTGATAGAGAACACCCCAGAGTACCTCACCAGTATGATAAGGAGCAAGCTAAGAGACCGAAAGGTAATTTACGAATGCGAAGGTGAACCTATTGAAATCGAGATGTCCTGTGGTGTCCCACAAGGTTCGAAACTTGGCCCTGTCTTATGGAATATTATGTACGACAGCCTACTGGGCATAAAACTTCCGCAAAATGTCTCAATAGTGGGCTTCGCAGACGATGCAATAATAGTGGCAACGGCGGAAACATCGGTCTTATTAGAGGTCATCGTGAACGATACCCTGAGAAGAGTGATGAGATGGCTGACGTCCAAAGGGCTGGAAGAGGCAGCCCATAAAACGGAAGCTTTACTCATCACGGACAGACAATCCTACCCCAATCCAACATTCCTAATATGCAAGGAAAAATACAACGTCGCAAGAGCCTCCGCTACCTAGGAGTGGAAATTGACAGGAAGCTAAGTTTTGGACCGCACGTTACCGAGACGACGGAAAAAGCACAAGGAATAGAGACCTTTCAAGGTTGATTCCGAACTCCAGGAACCCCAGCAACAAGAAGATACGACTTATTATGAGTGTGATGCACTCGAAAATGCTCTATGCAGCCCCGATCTGGGCAGAATCTCTTCAAGACAATAATTTGAGAAGGAAAAGGCAGTCTGTCCAGAGGAAAGGAGGTCTACGCATAACATCGGCGTATAGAACTGTATCCGGAAGTGCTGTTCTTCTGCTGGCGAACGTCCCTCCTATTGACCTGCTTGCTCTAGAAAGGAAAGAAGTTTACGGCTACTCCCATGAGCAAGAGGGCAAGGGAAGGCGAACGCACCGAGACAGCGATAGCGCAATTGAAAAAGCTAAAGAAAACACGATGCACCGCTGGCAGAAACGCTGGGACAGAGAGGAGGCCGGCAGATGGGCTAATAGGCTCATCCCGAATGTATCCAAATGGATAATCCGCAAACACGGGTCTGTGACATACCATTTATAGGGCATTAATAGGGCATGGATGTTTTATGGCATACCTTAAAAGATTCAGAAAGACACAAGACGCGGTATGCTTCTACTGCAGCCATAGATATATATATATATATATATATATATATAGATAGATAGATAGATAGATAGATAGATAGATAGATAGATAGATAGTTAGATAGATAGATATGAGAACGTTCTGAATGAACTCGTGGCTTTTAAGTTTCAAACTGATATTGTGTGTGTGTGTGTGTGTGTGTGTGTATGTGTGTGTGTGCATTGAAAAACATGCTCCCAATTTATTCTTTAAATTGCTCCTCATATCTAATAACTTAGAGTCCAGAAGTTCAGACATTTATTGGCCTAAAATAGACAGGCATTTATTTTTGTTATAATAGGCATGCAAAAAGGCATTTATTGTAGCTTAAGTAAGGGTGCAAAAAAAGCATGTAAAAATGGAAAATCAGATTTTAAAGGAATTGGTGTAAAAATTAATAATTAAAATGATTAAAATTTTGCATTCTAACTGTAAAATCTGTATTAGCACTTAACATGTATGGAAACGATTTTTCTTTTTAATCTTAATCCACATAACCATCCTATATGATGTTATGAATTTATTTTACTTAAGACGCTGTCTCTTCGAAGTGCTACTCCCATTAAATTGTGGACTCCCATTAAATTTTGAAATGGCATTAGTAAAAACGAAATTTTATTTTTCGTTCTTCCCACTTGTGTAATCACCTGCACTGAAATCGGTGTATCATACTCATGGAGCAGTCCTCAGAATGGATCGGAGACCTTATTCAAAAGTAGAAAGGGATTCTTCGTGGGCGAACAAAATCTGTGTCAATCGACGAAAAAAAAAAACTTAACTTATCATCTTCCCTTTTTATTTATATTTTTAATACACCCTCTGATTCCTCAGAATGACAGAAAATGACAGTTTCTTCATGTTTTCTAGGCTTACAGGTATATATCAAGCTTGATCGCGATCTGTACCAGGATAAAAAAGCAAATTAATGCGGAAAAGACAGAAAAAGACAAAAATAGACATCAGAAGCTACAATAGCAAAAAAGGCAAAATTACAATCTACTAAAATAACTCCAAAAGCACAGTTAAGTCATTCCTATTGTCAAAAGTAGTGAAATACTAACTATAATAAAAATACACTTTGCCAAACTTCCGGGCTCTAGTGGTCAGTAAAATGTATGGTGCTAATCGAATTTTCGACTCTTGTTCCGTTTTTCGAAAATGCCAAAAAGTGAACTATCGAAGATAGTGATTTTTTCTTTAAACAAAGTTTGTTGCAAACTTGTCAACTTGTGGTGCTAAAGCAGCACGTAGTTTCTCGCCCGTATGTTGAAGCAAAATTTTGCGAAAAGTACTGTTTCGAAAAAATGTACATGATCTTATTTCAAAATATATCTTTAAGAAATAGATTTCATTAACTGAAAAAGTCTCTATCTTTAATATTTTAATTTTAGGAAGAAAAAGAAACAATTGAGCCTTTTTTTAATTTGAAAAATGTGTCAGAGGATTCATGTAAGTAATCCCAAAATTAAAATATCGGTTTCAAATTCAAGGGGCCGCGACGTCAGCCAGGTCGATTGTAAAATATCAGTTTTCAGAAAATCGGCTGAACAGTTTAGCCGCTAGCGTTCTTCGACAGACAGACATGTTTTGCCGTCATTCGAGGTTTTGGTATCACCTTCCAACAAACATGGATTCTGGCTGCACAACGCGTCAGAGAATATTTTTCTAAATTTAGCAACTGGATTTATCCACTTTTTCGTTACCAGGGTCCTGTAAGAAGAGTTTTTCTGTCGAAAGTTCGCAATTTTCACCCATTCCTTGTCCTTTCTTACCCTTTACTTACACACGCTTACACTCACATGCATCATACTATCTCACACGCTTTGAATCAGGTGGGGAGCTTAGAGCTTGTCCCGGCTGAGGCAATGCCTGTCTGGTGGGAGGTACCTGGTTGGGGAAATCCCGGCTAGCCTACGGTAGGTCGCCGGATTTAGCCATCCAGGGGGGGGGAGATCACAGCTACCTCCCGAGCAAACCACATGTACTACACTTACTGGACTAATGCCCTAACGGCTAGTTGACGCACCCGAAAAAAACTATCAATCAATTCACCTAATAGCTGTCAGTCCATCAGTGGAGTACTGTTGTGCTTAAACTGTTCAGCCGTTTTTCAGCAAAATTAATATTTCCAGATTTACATTAGCGGCGATTTGTTCATTATTGCATTTATGAGGATATGTGTTTTAAATGATGTCTAATAAAGTTTCTTGAAAACTCAAAACTTTTGTGCGAAAACGAGCACAATATTCCGCGTTTTCAGAAGCGCTCAAACGCCATTTTCTCAAAAACGGTTCCAATTTTTTTCTTCAAACTTTTCGAACGGATAGTGCTAAATGCGCAGCTTAAGGTGACACAAAATTTATTTTGCTATATTGTTTTGTTTTCCAAAATTTACACAAATGCAATTTTTTTGAAATACCTCTCACGCCGCTAATATACACATTCCGGCAATTTGTATGCATTGTTGCATTTGTAATTGAAAGTGTTTCAAATGTCTTGTAATTAAATTTTTCGAAAACTCAAAAGATTTCCGCGAAAATGAGTTGCAAATTTTATATTTACAGTAATGCTTAAGCGCCATTTTCTTAAAAACGGATCCAAATTTTTCAACGAAAATTGTCATATAGGACGATGTTTTACTCCTTTTTGATATTCTTCAAGTGATATTTCGATTCTACGATTAGGAAACCGAAAAATTGAGAAATTTTTTTAAAAAAATGTACTTTTGACAGCTATAGATGGCAGCTGGCAAGAGTACGTAGTGGAAAATCAGAAAAAGCTAGCTGACATGAAAGAAATTAGGAAGCTAATACGAGAAAGTCTGTCCCATTCTGGAACACTACTAGTTTATATAATTGCCCCGATTTCATTTGAACTTCGAAACAATTCCCTCGTTTCCGTCACTCGTTCTTCACTTTCGTTCACCAGCTCGCAGTGTCGGAGGCGATTCCACACGAAAATGGTTAAAAACCACGGTTGTCTTCACGGTAAGAAATATATTACACCATGGTTCTGTTATTTCGTGAATATCGATCACATTAATAGTCTTGTTTCTGTGACCTCAAACCTCAAAAAGTCACACTCGTTCACGCACGTGCGCCTTCATTTACTCGTTCATGCATATTCTCTGATTAATTCATGTTAAGAGTCAAGGAGTAATAAGGAGCATAAGGTGGCAAGGGGAGGCAAGCACTCCGCGACGTGCAACACCGGCGACTCATCTGTGAGTGCGTCCATCACAAGAAATAGGGGTTGTCATAGAAGTTTGAATATGTATTAGTGCGGTACGCCACAGAATTTTTTGGGGGTACACGTGTATAAAGTAGGGATGTGCTGAAGAAACATGTTGAATTGTTACATATTGCTATGTTGTTGGTTCTGTGATTTTTTTGTCTCTTTTTAGTGCAATCCTATGATGTTTAAAATGAAGAGAGTGCTCCCCTTCAAGTTACCTATTTTATGGTGTACTTCACCATTGAACATGTTTGATAAGGTTGATGAATCCACCGTAATTACCAAGGATGTCAGTACAGATACAGGATGGGAGCGGCTACGTTTGATGTTTACTTTTGACGAAGATATTAGTCCAGAATTAAATTCGGCAATGCACGCCGGATTAACAGGTATATTTTTTGGTGCACTGTATGGTGGTTTCGTAAAATCTAGATTAGCATATATTGACTTCTTTGAACGGAATCAAGCTACAGCCTTCAGAAGCCATGTAGAAGCAAAGAAGGTTCTTCAGGACCATGTTACTATCAATTTTGCAAAGGGAGCACTTTATTGGGGGTGGCGTTTAGGGTTATTCAGCAGTTCCCTTGTGCTAATTAGCACTGCTGTTTCCATTTACAGAGGTAAATCTGGAATACTTGAGTACACTGTGGCTGGTTGTGTTTCTGGTTGTTTATTTAGAGCCAATCTAGGAGTTAGAGGGATGCTAGTAGGAGGATTGTTGGGTTCCGCTCTTGGAACTATTGGTGGTTGTGTAATTTTTGCTATTCTTAAAGCAAGTGGATTTACAATGGAGGATATTCGTAATACTCAGTACCAGTGGCGTAAATACAGAACTGAAACAAAACAAAAATGGATGAAAGTAGCTACAGAAAAGGAGACAGTAGAGAATAAACTCTTAAAACATCATGATGCAAAATTAGAGTCACGTGCTCTTCCTGGTTCAGAGCCTGAACTTGATAGCAATTAATAACCAAAATGAAATTCTATTTTTTCTTAAATTTGTGCTTTTTGTGCTGATAAAATTTTACTGCTGACTGAGTACCTCAATTGGTCTAATTTTCTTCAATATTCAATAAATATAATAAAAAATCTTAATCATGGATTGCTTATGGAAATATTTCCTAAAATTCTGAGGAACTGTTTCTGTTATGTATCTAAATCAATCATTAATTTTGTTGTGTTGTAATTATATGGATTGTTGAATTATTTATGATAGTGAATTTCTTAATCATTTGTTCTAAATGAGAAATATTTATTGTAAATAGCATTAATTGCTCTGTATTCTGTACTGAGCTGTATGACTGAATCAAACAGTAAAATAAAATTTTCTCAATGTTTGTGTATGTAATTATTAGTGATGATTTTTTTCATGAAGTCACTGAAGGTCATAGAATGTTTACTCCTATAGAACAACATTTAAAGACTAGAGTCGGGATTTATATGCGGCAAAAATAACTAAAATGCATTCTATAATTTGTTGTAATAATGTATTGAATTGCTGATTGAAGTGCACTATTCCTGGCTTGGATAGCCAAGGTTGCTAAGGCTAAAGAGCCATAGTGTCTTTGTGCCTGAAGGGTTGTAGATTTGAATCCCGACAGAGCCAAGGATGTTTGTGTGCCCCTGTATACTGTTACCCACAATGTTGCTTTCAGTGGTTGCTATATGACCTTAGAAGTTGAAAAGCAACCTTAAATAAGTATTTAAAAAAAGTGTAAAAAAATGAAAATATGGAAGATGAAAGTTTTTAAGAAAACAAATTAATTAAGTAAACACTACCTGGCTTTCTGTGTAAACGTTTCCTCCGAACAATTTTTATCCAACTTCCCCACTAAAAATTTAGTTATATAACAGTGTAAATCAGTTGTTTCATCTATGATAAAGAATACGAAGCATATCTGATTTTGAAATTTCTAATAATTTCAATGGTCTGTAAATAAAAACTTTTCATAATATTTTGGTACAGCCCTTCCATACAGACACCATAGTTAATGCCTTTTTCTAGAAATCTTCTGAAAATTAAAATTTGTAATTGCTGAATTGGAATGTGGGAGGCTACTGTAACAAAATGTTTATTTAAAATTATCGTGTTTTGATGATTAAGAAGACAACGTGTGATATTTTCTCCGAATTCGTGTAAACTTATGAAATCCAGTAATAAAATAACTAATTGCAAACACTCATTTGGCTATGCTAAGATGTTTGTAATTTTCTTTGAGGCTAAACATGTCTTCCATAATCATTACAATAAACCACCTTTCTATTGGTTGAAAAAATATTTGCCTAATAGTTGGTTTGGTGTGAGTGTTTTAATATTTAACTTTACGAGAAATTACTTTCATCATTTTATTGAAACACTCATTAATCTGGGGTATTGGAGATTGTTGAAATCTGTTTTGAAACCGAATGTAATCAATTTCTACATTGGAATTAACAGTAGCAGGAACAATGCAACATGGCAGGCCAATAGTGACAGTTTAGTGAACTGTGGAAACTACAAATCCTAATATTTTGCAGTTCTTAGGAGCACATTTTGGCTTTAGACATGTTGCCGTTTTTAAGTCTGTTATTTCTTCACACCTTTTCACTTGTTCCGTACATGACAAATACAAAAATTGTTACAAATAATAATACAGACTCTGTTATTTTAAAAAGATGTACATACTATTTAGAAATATATGAAAAATTAATTATGCAAAATAAAATTTGGCAAGAAAACTCTAAATGGATTGGTTTGTAAAGGAATTTTATCATTTTTCATGTAAAAATTGGCATAGAATGATGCATATGCATACATATCCTGGTTCTTATTCAAAACTGTGCCAGAAAGGAATCAATCTGAGAGGTATCGTTAGTAGGGGCATATTGATGTATTGGAATTTTCGTTCTTCCATGGAAATGTGGCCATTTTAGCCTTTTTGTATATATAATTTGTTTATTTAGTTATTTATTTAAAACAATTACTAGAATTTATTATGTATTTCTTCTCAAAATATAAAATATTTTTACTCGAATCTAACTTGAAACCAGTGTTGTGAAAGTACTAAAAGCAAAGGAAGTCGCAAAAATAAACCCAGTTAAGTAATTGAGGAATAGGCCTGCCATTGTCTGGATGGGTCTTCTAGAGAGTCTGTAGTTTCTTCTACGTTATTCTGTATGTATGACCGAACAGTAGGTACCGTAAACAATAGGCCACAGTCTGTGGGATCGTGTGTTTCCCAACCTGTTCTCACTCTAGAACCTAGGGTTGTGCTGATCTCCCATTCCCATAATGGTCTATCCCCCAAGGTGATGAAAGACTGGCAGTATTGTGAGAATGCAAATTTGAGGCCAAGTCACGATTGGAATGGTCGCAATGTACTGTAGTGCTATTGGAAATAAATGTAAAGGATTGTTTTATTAGTAGTTTTAAGTCTTAGATGCACCCACCTCTTATTTCTACAGCAATTCATCACACATCTCAATTGTCCCAATTGTTTAACAGCTTTTCTGCAGAAAACCTTATTACTTAATTATATTTGATTTGTGTTTAATGGCTTACAATGCCTTTTTATACAAATTTTCACAATTTAAAATTACTGTTGTAGGTAATTTATTTTTTATACAGTTAAGTCAGGTTGGAGATTTTTTAAATATTTTGTCAGTTTTGTGGAGGTGTAGTGGATTATCATATTGTAATTACTATTAAAGCACTGTGGAAATAGTTTGACAAAAGTTACAGCTATTTGCAATTTGAGTGCATTGAGTTTTTCACATTATTGTACTACACTTCTTACTTTCATTTGCCAAATATTGCAGAGTTGAAAGTGTGATGTCATGAAAACAGAATATATGGCATTATATAGTTTCCAATTTCACTTCTTTATTCAACTGAACTAGCAGTAATTTCGCTGTTTCCATCCGTGTTTTGGTTGAGCACTTCACAAGACCATGTGAAGTGCTCATTTATGGAAGTATTAAGTGATGTGCTTGTTGGCAGACAAATAATCCCCTGCAGTGTATTTTGTTTAGCTAAGATCAAGAATGTTGTATTCAAAACAAATAAAATGTATTAACCCATGCAATATAGTGTAAAAGAAAGAAAATTAAAAGAATTGACCATCGTTTGGTTTAATTTTATTTTTACAGCACAGTGAGCCCGATGCCAAAATGCATGGGTAGCCTGTCGGAACATGTTCCAATTTCCACCTCTTAATCTCTGGGTGAGAGGAAGCCCCCGAAGGCGGCGCACTTTTTGGTGTAGTGTTTAGCCATTTGATTTATGTGTGCACTACATAGATTGTTTTGTGGAATTACACACGTCTTCAGACGTTTGTTTTCAGTCATCAAATCTTATACTATCCTAATGAAGTTAACCGGAGAGGTCAATATTTTATTCGTTTTGGAATCGCAAAGTACTTCCTAGTGGTTGTTAATGGAAACCGAATTTACACTACTGGCTTTTGTCGCTGTCGATTGCTTTTGATGGTTACTGGAATATCACCCCGACGTGGGTATTCATAATTACTAATTATACTGCAGTTTTTCTCACTCTGGCCCTCAAGGCATTGTTTCACGGTGGCATCATGTCACTTTTTCGTGTCTTAGCCTGTCGGTCCACTAGATGGGCCTATCAGATCCCACCAGGGATCTATCAGAGTCACTGCTATAATGCAATAATAATTTTTCAGGAGTGTATTCTCTTAAACCGGTAGAGATTCTCACTTCCTGGAGAAATATGGTTTGTCGGTACGAACAACACTTACGCAATAACTATCTCTCGAGATCTTCCACACACTCATTCACGACGCTCGCGAAATGACAGTTGGCCCCATGTAAAAACCCCGTGTAAACAGCGACAGAGGGAAATTCTTCCACAACGGCCAACTTTACACAGATGTACATTTTGAATCAATTAACCTTACATCAAACCGTCGCCCCTTTGTTCGCGAGGGAGGCAATATGAACCGAGATAGTTGAAAGAGCCGACGTCACAGTTACGGCTTGCAAACCCCTAAAGGCGTACAATAAAGCAATCGTGAGAGCGGGCGACAGCCGGCAGTGGCACGCGACGCCGCGCAGACCCCGCAGACACCCCACGCCCACAGTGCGCAAAGGGAAACGAATTAAAATACACAGAACGTTCGAGAAGTACGCCGCAAGAGCTAATCAGATGCAATACGCTAAACACGTGACAATTCGGAGCTGTGAGTAAGAGGTAGGGATGGAGGAGCGAAGGAAGCAAGACGTTGAGAAAACTTCAGTGGTAATCTTCGGCCCGAACCAGGCACTTGCATTTTTTTCGACTTGAACGAATCACTTCAAGTTTCGTCTCGAACGCGGCACTTGTCAACATGAGACAGAACGAGAACTGGGCTGCGAGCAATTAGGCAGTTACATGGCGGAATAATACGTTTAGCGGCGTACCGTTGGCAAACACCCGCCCGCCTAAATCATCCGATCAGCTGTCACTTGCCACCAGAATTAATTCCGTGTGACCAGTTAATCGGATAGACACCCGAAAAACTGTGATAAGGGTGTGCAGTCTGGTCTTACGGCTGCTAAACGGGAACGTCTGACGATTTCCGATTCACGCACCGATTTGGCGACTCCTCGCTTCCTGCGTGGACGCGATGGGCCACTACGACTCCGGTGCAGCCTGCGAGAGGCCCAGGTCCTTCTTGCTGCATACAGAGTCATTTCGACAGCAAGTAACTGGTCACGATCGTGTAATCCACCGAAGTGAGGTAACCTCGTCATCACCATTGTTTTGTAAATCCATTCACCACCAGTAGTTAAATAATAAATTGGACTGGAAATTGCTACAGAGAGAGAGAGAGAGAGAGGGGAGAATAAGTGTATTTAAAGACAGATTCACTTTAAATGTGTTCCCGCCTCTCAGACGGGCTGTACATGATAAAGTTCCATCTTTGTGTATCATTTCGTTAATTAGAAGACAAAATGCAATTCTTCGACCCAGAGCGCTCG